AAACTGATGATGTGCCCTGTAAACTTTCACTCAATCCACAATAAAAACCTTAAATTAAAAAAAATAAAAATAAAAAAATCCTACCTACTGATAATTACACTGAATATAAATCGATAAACTGTTCCAGTCAAGAGACATAAAGAACAAAAAAGTTAAGAAAACAGAATCCTTCAATATGCTGGCTACAAGAGACATACCAAAAAGATGAAGATCACCTAAATTCCTGTCACCATAAGAGTGGATGAACAAAGTTTGGCACATACACACAACGGAATACTATAAGACACTGAAAAATAATGATGAATCTATAAAACAGCTCACAACACAGTTGAACCTGGGGACATATGCTGAGTGAAATTAGTCAATCACCTAAGGACAAACACTGTATAAGCCCAACACTGTAAAAAGTGTTTTTTTAAAAAAAAGCTTTCTTGATACAAGAAACAATCTATGAAGGTTATGGGGGGATGAAGGGGAAGAGAAAATTATTCATGGGCTAGAGGACAGACACATGTTAACATGGGTGACAGGGCAGTCAATATGCAACAAGGGGAGGTTAGCAGAGGAAAGATGAAAATAGCAGGAGACACAGGGAGGAATACAATAATTACAGCGAATGAGGAATAGAGTTAAAGGCTGTTAACTGTTGGTACGTGGAGAGGATTGCAATCATGTGAAGTATGGTTCGTTGAATGTTAACTGATGACCTGCCCTGTAAATCTTCACTCAATTCACAATAAAAATTAAAAAAATAAACAAACAAAAAACCAACCCACAAAACAAATGGCAGGTGTGTAAGTTAAGATCATTTCAAAAGAATGAATGAAGCTCCTGTAAAAGTGAAAACGAGAGGCAACAGGAGAGGAGACCAGATAGCAAGGTTTAAGTATTGGATCACAGAAGGCATCTCATGCATGCAAGAGAATTCTGACTTTGATCTGTTGAAGAACTAACAAACTGAAAAGCAGAAATTCTTAACCTGATGCCCATATATGAGCTTCAGCAGTCTTGTAAACACTCTGAAATTACATATCAAAAAAACCTTTATGTACAATTTTTCCTAGAGAGGGTCCTTCATTTTTAACAGATTCTCAAAAGAGCCAATGACTACCTGTTTCTCACCCCCAACATCACCATTTAGGATGTATTACACTCAGGAAAAACTCAAAATGGGTTATCCCCTTGAGTAATAAAAGCCATCAATGAGTGTGACCGATTAAAGAAGCAGAAATAGGAAAAGAAAACTATACATGTCAAGTGCCCATATCTTCATGAATTTGGGGAAAGAGACTAGAGGTTAGTAGATGATGATGATGAAAACAAGGGTTTATTGTAATACTTCCCCCGACTCCTCAAAAGGCTGAGGGAGTGACATAGTTACCTAGTCAGAACCTCGAAGGATTTCATGTGATTTAATCCATACTTTAAATTACTGAGTCCATATCGTACGTTGGGCACTCTGCTAGATGCTTAATTACAACTCTGAACTAAGAAAAAACCCTCAGCTTTCAGAGAGCTTATATTTGGGGGACAGAAGTTGGAGGGGAGACAGACATTAACAACTAACACAATAAATTGGCAAATTTCATATATCTTAGAAAATATTACGTATTATGGGAAAGCTTATTAGAATAGATAGGATGAAAGTGCTGAGCGAAGAGTGGAATTGTCAATTGCAGGGTGAGAGCACATCTCATTTGAAAGTATACATTTGGATGGCGATTTGAAGGAAGTACACACATTCCATAATTTTCAGTATATGTGTAATTGGTAAGCAGCCTAATTCTCAATTTCTTCTTCTACTTCTTTTTTTTTTTTAAGTAGATCTAGAAGTCTTTGGAAGGTCTACTCTGGAAATCTAATACATCACAACAGAAGGTAAGTCTTCCATTTCAAACACCAAAATCACTAGTTTTACGTATAGCAAAAACTAAAAGAAATATTGACTAATTGACTATTGAGTTTTAAGCAGAGAACTTCTGTAGGTAAATTCACTCAGAGGAAGACAGTTTTAGATCTCAGTTTAAAGATGGATTTTTGCTTCTATGACCTCTACCACAAATTCAGACAGTTTTTATAGAGTATCAGTCTACGCCATCCATGGATAAGAATATGATCACAACTCACCTATCCAGTGCCTGTCGAGCCAACTGTTTCAGCTTATTTTGCAGGGTTTTATCAGCAGTTTCATAAGACTTAAGAAAAATAAACAAACATTCTAAAGTAAAATTATTTTTTTAAATTTGATTAGTTCATAATTTTTTCTAAGCCAAAAACGTGTAAATTCACATTATACTTCTTAAAATTATGAAGGATGACATTTTATATTTATCTTTAAAAGTATCATTTAAAACTAGTGTTGAAAACTTGTCATACAGGTAAACCCTAAGACCACTTAATGTGGAAAAGGGCTAACCAGACTACAATGTTATGATGATGGTGCCATGGCAAGTTTGAATGGAAGGAACCTCAAACGACCACCACTTACTTAAATTACTGAGTCCATATCGTACGTTGGGCACTCTGCGAGATGCTTAATTACAACTCTGAACTAAGAAAAAATCCTCAGCTTTCAGAGCTTATATTTGGGGGAGAGCTTATATTGGGGGAGAGCTTATATTGGGGGTCTTAGGTACCTATAGAAATCAGGCCCTCACCCATAAAGCCAGTTGTCTGAATGAGGCTGGGAACACCATTCTCTACTTCATCTCATCCTCTTGGTTAAATGCACTACACTCTCTTTTGTAAAAGCAGTACTTTACTGTTCGTGTGTGAAAGTTTACACAGATTAGGTTCCCTTTAAATATCGAACATTTCATGAATTTGTGTGTCATCATCCTTGCACAGGGGCCATGCTGATCTTCTCTGTATTATCCAATTTTATGACATGTGCTAATGAAACAAGCACTGCACTGCTCACTTACACATTAGGTACTAGATACTAAGACTCCCACCAGGCTACTCAGGGAGCAGTAAAAGTAACTCAGCACAGACTTTATGTTGCAAATTAATAAAGCTCTTCCAAACTACCAGCTAAGTTTTTAGCATGTGAAATTGTGAGGGTTACAATTAACTTTACCCAAAGAATTGGTCTTTGTCCTTGATTTCAGAGAGCCTCTAAATCCTCAGTGACTGTCTCTGATGACAGCTCCAGACTACACTAATCTAACAGATGATGCCAATAAGGTTATTGAGGTGGGCGCTGGCCACGTCAGAAAGACCCACATCATATCAGCCCAGTGGAGGGGTGGAGAATTCAATTACAAATAGCAACATAATGAGGTCCAAAGAAAGGTTTGGGACATGGATGTTCCAAGGGCTTCCTGGCTGGTGAAAAACAATGATGTGCTTGGGAGTGTAGCTCATGCCTTTCTAGGACACTGAAATTCTTACATTGGGAACCCTTCCAAACCTCATCCTATGAGTCATTTGTGCCTTCTTTACTATACTAAAACTGCTGTAATAAGCCTATCACTTTTAATGAGTTTGGAAACTTTTATTGAATTATTGAAATAGAGAGTAGGGGGAGGCAGAGGATCAGAAGTGAGGGGGACTCAGTGGACACCCACACTTATGGCTGGGCATTCTGAGGGGAATAGTGGCAAACCCCCAAATTTGTAGTAAGTCAGAAGTGAGGATGTCGTGGGGTCCCCAAGACTTCGGATGGTATCTGAGATCTGTGACACTTGACAGTCTGGAAGACTGTGCCTTTTTCATTTTAAGACAGGACCTAGTTCCGGTGGTTAGGAGCTGAGGGGAAAGTACTATATTATACATTATGCAGTCAGTATCAAAATCATACTAACTGGTTTCTTCATTTCAGTTGGCATGAGAAGTGGGAATAGAACGGATTCTTCTTCAGAAATTAAAATAAAACAAAAAAGCTTACGTAAATTCTTTCTGTAGTAAGTTGATTTTTGCTATCAGGGTGTAAAAATGTTAAACAAAACAAACAAAAAACACAACACCTGTAACTTAAAAATAATTGCTTAATGGCTCAATGTCAAATTCTTAACAAAATGCTAAAATCCATTATTAACTGTCTATTCATCAGTTTTTTAATGAGAAGTAACCTAGTTACATTTATAACAATACAATACTTTGCTTCAATGAGGGGCTAAAGTTCACTCATAAGGGAAGAATTCTTTGAATTTCATTAAATTTAATTTCTAGTAACACATACGGTTTTCAGACAGAGATCCACAGCTTCTGTATATAACTCTATAGCATCTTCAACATTCTCTTTTTCATCTTCATCAAAAGCTTGTGTAACAAGGAAATGGGCTCGCTCTAGGTCCAACTGATGTTTTGATTTCAAAGGATCAGCATTCTTTGACTGAACTATAGAGAAACAAAAACATACGTAAAAGAAATATCACCTACACATACTCAGTGATACACCTTTTTAATACATTAAAACATTCTTTACCAAAACCCTACAACACTCTCAGTAAAACAGTGACAATGTCAAAAAAAGAAATCCTTAAAATTAATTTCCTCCTTAATCTTAATTTTAAGGCCATTCCCAACTGTTCAGCACATACACAAGACATTAGATATCAAAAATATCATGGGACACATTATTTCCTCACAAATTATTTTTTCTCCTGCTTTTCTCTACCAACATTCTCTTCATTTAAAAAAATAAAATGCAAGTTGTCCTTACAAATACTCTCAAAATAAAAAATAAATAAAAACTTGAAAAATGTCATATATAAAGATTCAATTATTCTTTAAGGCAATATAAAAAAGTATTTCCTTCTAAGCAATTAGTCCAGTGGACTGATGAACCGTATGAATTTGAGTCTCTACAATCCTGAGACCAGAACTAGATAGTGCCCAGCTACCACTGTCAACTGCTGAAAGAGATCAGATTTGAAGGTCCTGGATGGAGTAGGAGACAATGTGGAACAAAACTCAAAATCACAAAAAAGACAAGGTTTTCTGGTTGTAGAGTTTGTCCTAACTCTCTTGAGACTAAGGTGGTCTAGTCACCCCTTCAGATCGGGAAACGAACTCACCCCATGGCTCAATTCTCAGCCACAACAATAGACAAGTCTACAATGGGGTTTGGTGTGGCACTGTAGCGTAAGCATTGGATTGCTAACTGTAAGGTTGGTGGTTCAAACCCAACAGAAACCTTATAGGAATTGACTCACGGACAGTTAACAATATAACCATAAGGAGAAAAGCAACACTAGGGAGGTACACATACCTTAGAACAATCAACCATCTGAAATCAGAAGAGTAACACTGATTCAAGGTCAAAGTTCAGGAAGGTTAGGAAAGGAGGAGGAATGGGAACACAGGAAGCAAGTGGGATAAGTGATATTATTACACTGTGGAGACTGCAATCAACGAGATGAAAAAGTGTGTAAGAATTTTTGAATGGAAAACTAATCTTCATCTGACTCACAATAAAAAAGTTAAAAAAAAAATTCCTTCAATACGGAATTGTCTACCATGAGGGCAAGTCAAAAAGTATTGCTACTAGGGTTCCAGTTCATATATGCATTGAGTTTATTCCAAACAAAATGTGTTCAAGCATGCCTGTGTGATCAGTGGATGGCTGCAGGTAAGTTCTCTCAGTAATGCACCTGTTTTAGACTCACTGGAGTACCTTCAAAAAGAAGTCCAATCAAAACACAGGATTACAAGATCCTGTTGGGCCAGTTAACAGGAATCACTTTAGAAGGTTATGAAAACTGTTTTTTGGGACCCTTTAGGGTAATCTTAAGAGATTTTCTCCAAGGACACAGGATGATCACAGAAGTGTTATTAGAAAGGAATTTTAAGAAAACTGAAAACTTCATTAATGGAAAGAAGGCAAGGAAAAGTTGTACCAAATACTTTTGTTTTCATCACAACAATGTACCTGCTCACTGTTTGAGGGTAAGCAAGGGCTGTCCTACAAGAATTTCATTGGGAAACCTTACCCCATCCACTCTGGTCCTGATCTTTCCCCTTCTGACTTTTTATTCCCCAAACTCAAAGAACACTGAAAAGGAACACCATTTGAGTCCCCCTAAGGATGCCAAAACTGCCATTTTGACAAGGTATAAATTAGTCTTCAGAATTCTTTAGGGAGGGGCTGGAGATATGGAAACACTGCCTTCAGAAGTATATGGGCCTAGATGTAGGGTACGTCAAGAAAAAATAGCTTCAAATTTTCATGTAAAGTTTTCTATGATTTTTATAGCAGTATTTATGTTGTTAAGTTCCATCAATTCAGTTCCAACCCATAGCGACCCTGGATAGGGTTTCCAAGGAGCAGCTGGTGAGCTTCAACCGCCAACCTTGTAGTTCGAACGGCTTTGCAGTCTAGCACCACACCAAGACTCCTACATATACGTTGTTATTAAGTGCCCTAGAGTTGGTTCAGACTCACAGAGACCCTGTATAGGATTTCCAAGGATGGGCTTGTGGATTTGAATTGCCAACCTTATAGTTAGCAATCCAGTGCTTATCCTACAGACCTACACCAAGACCCCTCATATAATATAGGAAACATGGCAGGAACTTTGTCCTGGTGTGGCGCTGCAGGTTAATGCACTGGACTGCAAAGTCGGTTTCAACAGCATGGTTGGTGGTTCAAGCTCACCAACTGTTCCTTGGAAACCCCATAAAGGGTGGCTTTGAGTTGGAAGCAACTTGATAGCACTCAACAACAACAGTGTAATAAAGCTTCTATTCATCTTGGTCCAGAATATTTTTCACACTCTTTGTATAAATGTTTAAGTTTGTTTTTAGTATAAAAGCCAACACCTGCAAAGAAAGGAGTTGTGTCCAGAGGATTAAAGATCTCCTACAATCCAACAATGGAGTCCTGGTGTGGCACTAAAGGATAAGCGCTGGACTGCTACCCACAGGTTGGCGGCTCCAACCCTACAAACCCTGTAGGTTTATAGGTCCCAGAAAACCCTATATAGGGTCACTATTAGTTGGAGCTGACTCAATAGCACTTAACAACAAAAAGCACCCAACAACAAAAAGACAACCCAATTAAAAATCAGCAAAGATCTCATCAGATATTTCTTCAAAGATACAGAAATGTTCAATAAGTACTGAATAGATGCTCAACATCATTAGCCACCATAGAAAAACCCATCAAAATCATATTGAGATACACTTTCACACCCAGGACGAGTCCCTGGGTGCTGTAAACAGTTAAGCACTCAACTACTAGGCTTGAACCCACCAACTACAGAGATCTTGGAAGACAGCCTTGGTAATCTACTTCCAAAAGCTCAGAGCCTTGATAAAACATAGATCGCAATGAGGTGGGACCGACTAGAAGGCAATTAACAGCAGCAGCAACAACAGGGTTAAACTAAAAAGACAGAGATCAAGTATTGGTGAAGATGTGAAGAAATTGGTAACCGTATATTTTGTTGGTGGGACTGTTAAGATGGTACAGCTACTTTGTAAAAGTCTGACAGTTCCTCAAAAAAAGCTAAATATGAGTTACCATATACCTTACAGCAGTTCCATTCCTACACATATACTTGAGAACGGAAAACAATGCCTACACAAAAACTTGTATACAAATGATTACAGAAACATTATAGCAAAAAAATAGAACTAACCCAAATTTCTATCAACTGATGAGTAGACAAAACAAAATATCTTCCAATATCTATACAACAGAATACTTGTTGATTAGTGCTGTGGAATAGGTTCTGACTTCAAAGTGATCCTGTGTAGGGTTTCCAAAGAATGGCTGGTGAGTTTGAACCCTGATCCTGTGGTTCAAACTGACTTTGCAGTTCAGTGCTTACCCTATAGCACCATACCAGGAATATTACTTGACCATTAAGAAAGAAATAAAGTACTGACAATGCTACTCCAATAGATAAACCTAGAAGACATGCTAAATGAATGAAGCCAGATATACTGTATTATTGTACTTATATGAAATATCCAGAACAGGTGAATCCAAAGAGACAAAAAGATTAGTGGTTGTCAGGAGCTGGGTGAGGGTGATGGTGGGGAAGGTGGTGGCATGGGGACTGACTTTTAACAGATTTTATTTATTTATTTATGTTTTATTGTGAATTATGTGATAGTTTACATAGGAGAACATTAGGTTTACATTCATCCTATCATATATCATTTCACTGCCATGGTTACAATCCCCTCCATGCATCATCAACCAACCAAAGGGTATACCCTGCAAGCCTGCCCCAGTCGTCAGCCCACAGCCACTCTCCCTCCCTGGGTCTAGAGTCCCCAGCCACTCCATCTCTCCATGACTTTAACAGATTTAATTGATACAGCATTTCTTTCTGCAATGATGAAATATTCTAACATTAGATGACAGTGATGGTAGCACAACTCTGGAATATACTGAAAACCACTTAATTGTGTACTTTGTTGTTGTTGTTAGGTGCTGTCAATTAGGTTCCGACTCACAGTGACCCTGTATAAGGTCTGCAAGAAGTGGCTGGTGAGCACGAACTGCCAACCTTATGGGTATCCTATAGTGGCACATCAAAACTCAGAATTATATACTTTAGAAGGATGAATTTTATGGTATATGAATTATATGTCAACAAAGCTATAATCTTAAAGAGGTTTATTTAGTCCTTGAAACACATCTATGAAGTACACATTTTGCCCATCTTATAAAATGAAGAACACCAAAGCTCAAAACTGTTAAACTATCCAACCCAGGGTTTTCCAACCTTGGCACCACTGACATATCAGGCCAGATAACTGCTTCCTGTGGGGACTATTGTGTGCATTGCAGGATGCTAAACAAGATTCCTCCCTGGCTTTTACTTAACCAGATATCAATCAGCAGGCATCTCCACAGTTATAAAAACCAAAAATCTCTCCAGACACTGTCAAATGTCCCCTGGGGGAATAAAACTGCTCCTGGTTGAGGACAACTGATTTAACCTAAGGTTTCATAGCTATAGTATAGTGGCAGGGTAGGGACCCAACTTAGATTTGTTAATTCTAAATCTTGAGCTCTTTATATTATTACCCTGGTCATTTTCAAGCGGTTATTTACCCTACCCAGAAGTAAACTAATCTCTCAAGAGTCTCTTGACTGTTAGTCAACTTTATCTGTTTTAACAACAGGTTCTGAACAAGATTTTATTTGGAAAAGGATTCTTCACCTTAAAATAATAAAAAACAAGTAATTGGCAGACCAATTAAGGTACTTGGTGGAGTGGTTAAGCATTCAGCTGCAAACCCACCAGCTGCTACATGGGAGGCACCTGTGGCAGTCTTGCCTCCATAAAGATTACATCCTTCAAAACCCTATGGCGCAGCTATACTCTACCGTCTACAGGATCACCATGAATTGGAACTGTTTTAATGCCAATTGTTTTTTTTAATGAGTATGCTTTAAAAATTATTTTTGAACTTCAGTTTTGTTTCTCTGGTCTTCAACATTTAGTATAGCATGTTTCAGAAAGGGATTTCTATGCTAGTTCACTGTTTACAACGTTTATCTCTTGACACCTAATTAAAGGTGTGCATGGACTGGTGTCACTCATTTTTCTATCACTCAGGACTTAACATATAGCCCTAACAAGTACTTAATAAATGATTGCTGAAATGAAGGGACACATCTATGGAAAAAGCAGGGAGATCATGAGAGTACACATGTAATATTACTTTTCACATTTCAAAGATAATTTTATTTATAAACACTGTTTCTAAAACAAGGCTTCCTGATTATCAATGTGATACTTAACAACTTCATTTATTTGCCCAGGAAAATGAAGTGCCTTAGAATTACATGAGGCCTGGATACAAAGGCAGTTCACATTTCAATACATTCTGGGCACTGTTTTAAAGTGAAATTATTTGGTCTTTTGCTCCAATCATCCAATCTACTTTATCCTAACTATGTGCTTTTAACTGTCTATTATGCTCAGATGTTCGTGGGAACACTGCATGATTGGTGGGAAGCAGCACCAAGTCTATCAAGCAACACTTAATAAACAGAAATTCCTCTAAGCCACTTAATAACTTTACTGTTCAGTGACAGGAAAACCAAGAAGGGTTAAAAGAGGTCTTGGAGAGATGAGGACATTTCTCAACAAAATGTCATTAGGTGATAATTTAATTTTCTTTCCACGTGCACAGATTTTGACATGAGCCACATACCTCAAACTAACAAATCTGTTATCATTAAACCTGTGTATTTCTGTAAAGGCACTTGCCAGGCTGTTTACAGAAATAAACACAAGCTGTTCCAGGTCTCCGCTTACATGTTGCTTTCCCAAAGTATGGCTTTAAAAAAAGAGTTCAGCTAAACTCGTGACGTAGAATAGACGTAGAATTGAAGAAAATGTTAACTTACTATTAAAATCTTTAAACACTAAGAAGGAATAATCAATTGTTTTTTAATATCAGGAGGGGGCACTGATCTAGATTTAAAAAGCAGACTTCAATGAAGCCCGAATTCCAGCACTGCCACTGAGTAACTGTTTGACTGTAAATGACTATCTGGGTCTTGGAGGAATTAGGAGATTGAACTGTACTATTTCTAAGATTCCTCTTCACTGGTCTGTCATTTATTTCCATATATCCTATTATTCCAATCATAAGACTGTAAAATATGTCTTTAGCAAAAGGTGAATGAGCAGCAAGAAGGAGGACGACCAAGATCTGAATGTGAAGATGAAAAACAGGGAGAACAGAGGGAAAAAAGTATAATGTGGTAGAAGAAAAAAAAAACAAAAAAAAACAGAACAGTGAGAAGTTTAGTATCTCAGTATCCCCCCTGTACAAACCTGCTGAATGTAGAGCCTGAACTCTTTCCAGATACTCATTTATTTTTTCTTGAATATGTTCTAGGCTTGATCCTGCCATTTCAGCATAAATTAAGGCTTGGGCAGCTTCCTAAAAAAAAAAAAAAAAAGAATTTAAAGGAATTTAGTTGTTAAGTGCTGTTAAGTTGGTTCTGACTCACAGCAACCCTGTATAGGGTTTTCAAGGAGAACTGATCTTTCGGTAATCAGTCTAGTGCTTCTCCTACAGTGCTACACCTAGATAGCACTGTAGGAGATAAATAAAAAATTTTAAGAAAGAGCCCAGCAGATAAACTAAAATGAGAATTTGCTTCAATACTTTCTAGCTCACTACTGGTTTTCATAAATAACAAAACAATAATGACTGATTAATCTTTAACATACTAGTATTATTTTTCATAAAGTAAGTAAGTCACATAATCCCCTAATTACCTTTCCTCCAGATCTTAACGCTCTCAATTTCTGTTGAAAATGGATGAGTTCAAGTATAAGGGGCTATAAAAATTTCCTTAAGATAGCTGTGGTTTATATGCTTTGTTTTCCTTCAATCTTATGAAATAGATCAGACTTAAAAATTATATACCTTACAAAGGTATATAAAGCCTTTAAAGCACTAAAACGAATAATAGCAACAACAGAGACCAACACCACCACCAATGAAAAAAGCTAAATATTAGGAAAAGACTGTAAGAAATTACAAAGGGTAAGTATATTTCTTCAACAAAAAAATAAAGATGGTTGATGAGGGACACTTTTTAGGCAGATTTAACTTGTTTGCAGTAAATTAATTTTAATTAAGGAAACCTCAATTCCTTATATGTCACTTATGTTACATGACTAGTGACAAAGAGCTCCTTTTCCAATCACCATTCCAGGAAGATTATCAATACCACAACCTAGAAAGGCAAAGAAAGTCTTCTCCAGGTAATGACACATCTTCTGCAAAATCCTGAGCATGAACATTGGTAAGGCGTCATGCCAAACTGTCTGAATCCAAAAAAGCCCCAAACTGATTACTTTTTAATCCAGTTAATCGAATAGTTCTTTCAAAACAGTAAAAATCATGGTCTCAAATGGAAATTCAGCTTAAAGACTGTTGTTACATTCTCATTAAGTGTCGTCCAGTCTGTTCTGACTCACAGCAACCCTATATAGCATTTCCGAGGAACTGCTGGTGAGATTGAAACGCCGCCCTTGCCATTTAAACTAATTTATAATCTAGTGTTTATCCTACAGTGTCACACCAGGGCTCTCTAGCTTAAAGTTTGTTGTTGTTGTTAAAGTGCTCTCGAGTCAATTCCTACCCATAGCGACCCTGTATACGGTTTCCAAGGAGCAGTTGGTGAACCTGAACCACGGACTTTGCAGTTCATATTACTTTACAGTCTGACACATTAGCCCACAGTGCCACACCAGGATTCCAGCTTAAAGTTTAGAAGGTCAAAAAAGATTACAGATGACTTCAAAAAGTTTGTGTGTGTGGGGGGGGGAATGCTTTGCTGTCTCCTGGGATGTAGGGGGTGGGGTGAGGGGAGGGAGGGGAAGGTGGAGCAGAGGATAGTTTGGGTGTTAGGGAGGGAGACAATATACAAGAAGGAGGAGGGGAATGGAAGAACAAAGCAGATGGGAGAACAATTAGGCAAGTTTGCATGGGCTAAGTGGGACAGAGATAAATAATGATGTATGTACAACCTTGGAACAACAGGGCTCTAAGATATAGGCATTGTGACATGGGTGGAATGGGGAAAAGGGGGGAAATAATGTTAAGATGCTTGGCTGTCTTTTGAATCTTGGTTTCCCTGGCATACCACTATAAAATAGACACTTGAGGGGGAGAGAAAGGAATAGCCAGAAATATCACCACAGGAAGCCTGTAAGTCTGTCTTCTGCCTATAACTCATTGGAATACCTAAAATAGGGATACAATGTGCTCAGTGAAGGAGGCTTCCTGCGGAGCCTCTGCATTACATTAGACCATAGGTGGAATCCTGACCAGCATCTAGAATCTTCAGATGTGGGAAATTTCCACTTAAAAGGACAAGCAGACCAGCCTGGAATGGCTAGAAGAACAGAAGATTTTTCTTGAAAGAAAGACCAACAGGAAAAATACAAAACAATATTGGCAAACCAACTGATTACTACAAGAATAAGCAAGTTGTTCGCCCAGGAGATATCAAGGCAAGTGGCTGGGTCGCCTCAGAGCAAACCCCCTTCTAAGACTAAGACTCAGTGGGAATACACGCTCTGACTGGTGACCATGTTCATCACCGATAAGGGGAAGCGAGGGAAAACAGCAATGAAGTTGCGAGCTAAGCCCTACAACATTCAATAGATTCCTGTGAACCTGGGTGGAGACCTGGTTGGCCAGCATTGTGGCAAGTCCAGGGGACTCGTGGGCCCAGAGTCAGTAACATACCCACAAAGGACTAGAGTGGAGAGTGAAGCATCCAGCGGCTAAGAAGAGAGGGCATAAGAACACCAATACTTGCAGATAATACCCACTTGACCTGGCTTCAATGACTGGATGACCAGAATCAGAGCTCAACTAGAAGAAGAAAGAAGAGGAAAAAAAAAAGGGTAATCTGATAAAACTTGATGAACCTGACCTACACCTAGGGATGCAGTAGCTCAAAACAGGGAACAAATCTTTACAGCAAGGATCATTCCCACCCCCTCCATACACAGAGTAGACAGGGATAGGCAACTTGGACATTGGCTACCCAAAATGGGGCGGGGGGGTTTGGGTTAGAAGTGACCGGTTTACAAGCTTTCAGGACGGAATCTAGATCCAGAGGGCGTGGAGCTAGGTAGAATCTCCACTGAGTAGTATCCAATATGTCTAGGTGGAGCTGATGAAACGAAATGAGGATAGGTGTCTTGTGATACAACAGTGAACAACTGTTATCAGGACCGATTGTGGGAAATGTAAATGTAAAGGTACACGTTTTCTAGCAAGGAGGGGAGTGATTAACTTTGCAGTCTAGGAGGAGAGGTCCCTGGGACCATCAAGGGAGAAGAGTGGAGAACGGGACCCTACCCAGAGAAGCAGTGACCCCAGAGATGGAGGCAGAGACGATGACGTGGAGAGATGGAGCAGCTGGGGACTTTAGACCCAGAGAGGGAGAGGAGCTGTGTGCTGACCACCGGGGAGCAGGCTTGTAGGGTATACCCTTTGGTTGGTTGATGATGCATGGAGGGGACTGTAACCATGGCAATGAAATGATATAAGACAGGATGAATGTATAACTAATGTTCTCCCATGAAAACTATCACATAATTCACACACACACACACAAAAAAAGTTTGTGGAAACATGGAATTAAAAGATAATAGAATTTTTCTACTAACTTTTTGAAGCCCCCATATATTTCCTCAGATTTGATGATGGAAACAAATGCTTGGAAAGTATATAAAACTCTAAAGGTGACCTTTTTACACACTGTCTTTATCTAAATACACTAGTTACACTTCAATAAACTATGAAGAATACACACACAAAGAAGCCTCTTGCCAGTGACTTGATTTCCAACTCATGAAGACCCCAGGTGTTATATAGTAGAAGTGTTCCAAAGAGTGTTCTTATATGTAATCTTGACAAACGCAAATCACCAGGCCTTTCTTCTGCAGTGCTGCTAGGTGGGTGTGAATCACTAACCTTTACGTTACTTGTTCTTTGCACTGGAGTCGGTTCCAACTCATAGTGAGCCTGTACAGGGTTTCCGAGGCTGTAAATCTTTACAGGAGCAGAAAGCCTCATCTTTCTCCTGCGAAACAGCTGGTAGTTTCCAACTGCTGACCCTGAGGTTGGCAGCACAATTTGCAACTACTACACAACGAGTTTAGGTTAGGAGTTGAGCACAAACATCACTATGCCCAGGTATGGAGGAACTTCAGCTTGAGTCCATCACAGGTGCTTTGGAAGAAAAGCTGCCTGGCGATCTAATTCCAAAAAATCAGTCCACATCTGACACACATGGGGTTGCCTCGAATCAGCCTCAAATCAATGGCAACTCGTTTATAAAATGCAGCTGGGCCAGAAAACAACACGAACTGTCTCATAAAGTTCATATATAGTTTCTAGGAGGACCATTTTTCTTTAAGCATGAAATATTCTAAGCGTGTCATGCTACAGTCAAACAAAAAACAATGCATAATTTACCTTGCTTTAGGAAAAAACTATTCTTAAGTTGCACTATTTTAAACGATTATTTTATTATTTGTCAAAACTACAATAGAATTTCTATTTTAAAAAACAAATAATTTCGCAAGAATATTTCAAAATTTCAGAGGATTCTGAAACACATCAAAAGTTTCCAATATAAATCAATTAGAGACCAAACATTATTAGATGCTGGGGGAGCGGTGGGGGGGGGGGAACGGACACAGACGGACGGACAGGGAGAATGAACCTAAATAAATTGCCCAGCAGTTTGCAATCTGTTGTGCTTATAAAGTGCTCCTGTGATAGTTCGAATTCATAATGATGCTAGTATAGGGTTTCCGAGGTGCAGCTGGTGGGTTTGAACAGCAAACGTTTCCTACAGCTTATAATTAAGTTATGGTATGAGCCGTTTGAAGCTCTGGTAGCGTAGTGGTTACGAATCGGGCTGCGAACTTTAAGGTCAGCGGTTCGAAACTACCAGCCGCTCCGCGGGAGAAAGATGAGGCTTTCTACTCCCGTAAAGATTTACACCCTCAGAAACCCCGTACAGGGTCGCTATGGGTCGGAACCGACTCGATGGCACTTAACAACAATGAACCGTTTGAACTGCAAGGTCGGCGGCTCAATCTCACTACTCACTGCTTGGAAACCCTACCCTATACAGGGTCGCTAACTCGACGGCACTTAACAACAACAACAACAACAGCGCTGTACGATGAGGTCTCGGTTTGAACTGCAAAGTCAGTGGTTCAAACTCACCGGCCGCTCCTCGAAAATCCTACACAAGGTCTCTATGAGTCAACGGCATTTAACAACAAATGCAGCTGTTGTTAATAAAATATCAGGAGTAAACCTGACGATTTGGAAAAACGTTCATATGAGAAAGGGATTAAAAACAGCATTAATAGTACGAACCGAGGTTGTTAAAAAAAATAATAAGGGCAAGAGAAAAATCATCACAAAAAGATACATTAAACGCTGGGATGTAACCTTTATTTCTTTTCTTAAACGAACATGAATTATTGGCTCTTTCAGAACATTTCCCACTTATCCATCAATCAGTGACAGTAAGCATAAGCTACTACTGCTCATACCCAACTACTGCCGCCATAAGGAGCTCAAACGGTGGGCATTTCACAGCCAAGTCTGAGCCCAGCGGAGTGGGCTCTTTAAAGCCCTGGCAACGGCTTTCCACCGACGCACGTGCGGGGCGAGTGGCCTCGGTGGTCCGAGTCACCTCTCGGCTCCAGGATCCTAAGGAAGAGGGGCAGGAAGCAGGAAACGCAAAGCCCACAGCCGGGGCCAAGCGGGCCTGCGTCGCCCCGACACCTGGCCCCGCCCTTGACCTCGCGAACCCGTCGGACTCCGACCCGGATGGCTGGTGCAGACAAGCCGCCGCCCCCTACCTTATAGTAAAATACCGCCTCGGAATAGCGACCTTCGTGATCGCGCTGCACCGCCAGCCGGGCAAATTGCACGGCGTCCCGCTCCAGCGCCGCCGCGTCCATGGCGCCGAAACCCCGCTTCGTGGGGAGGGAGGCCCTGACGCAGGAAGGCTCTCTCCTGACCGTGGCACGCCTGGGAGGTGGAGGCAGGGGTCACAGACCCCGTGAAAAGAACGAGAAAGTTTACTTTCGGTGGCTAGGGGAGGAAAGCAGGCCTTAAGGGCTCCAGCCCACCGCGGTACCGCGCCCCCTCAGCGCAGTCCGGGCACCCAGCCCACGGGGCCGCCTCAGTCCGCGGCCACCACGTCCATTGCCCCGCCCACCGGTTGCAATGCGCACGCGCAATCTGGCTCTCGGGAGTTTCTCTGGGGCAGGGGCAGTCAAGGCTGGGCTCGCGGGAGTGCACGGGACGGTGGGCGGAGCGTGAGCCAGAGGGCTGGCCGGCTGCACGTGACCGCTGCGACGCCGGGATTGGGCAGGTGAAGCCAGGTAGTACGGCTCAGCTGCGGTTGTGTCCATCGCCTGTGTGGCGGTGGCAGCGCCCCAGTAGGCTGTTCCTGCTGACACTTACCAGGAAGGGGGATGTACCTTGTCGAATATTTTCTCTATGAAGTGGAAAGGGTAGAATTAAAGGATAATTGAAGAACATCTCCTAACACTATCTGGACAAATAAATAAATCGATGTCAAGTGAAAGAGAGAATATAGGATTATTTTAATAACCTTTATTTTAAACCACCTCACCTCAATCATAATCCTGTATATTGCTGTTAAGTGCCCTTGAGTAGATTCCGACTCACAGAGACCCTACTGTCTCCGGTTTCCATGGAGCCGATGGTGGGTTTCACGGCCATGTGGTTAGCAGTCCAATGATGTTATTAAGTGCCACTGACTCTTTGTAAGGTTTCCCAGGAGCAGCTGGTGGACTTGAACTGCCGACTTTATGGTTCACAGCCCAGTGTTGCCCCTACAGCACCACACCAGGAGTCCTGTAACACACCCCTACAATTTAGTGCCATACTGTTACAGAGAATGCTAACTGCGCTTCCACCCTTCAAGGCAGGGGTCTTACTATCACAACCGTAAAGGTAGAAGCTGTGTAACAAAAAGGGGGAAATAGTCCATCTTACATTCTACGAACAGAGGACCCTAGGATCTTCAAGAGAGAAGAACATGAGCGGAATGTAGTAGAGAAGCCCTGATACCAGAGATGGTGGCATGGAGTGATCTAGCAATTGAACGCTCTATAGACTCATGTAAAGAAAAGGATTGAGCGCTGGCGGCCACGAGGCATGCTTGCAGAATGTGCCCTTTAGTTGTTTAAATAATTATATATTCCTGAGTGTTTTTTAAGGTTTTTATTGTGGCTTGAGTGACAGTTTACAGGGCAGATCATCAATTTCACATTCAACAACTCATACACCTTGTTTCACTACATCCATGTACCATCATTTAACAATATTTAACTCTCTCTATTCGCCTGGGTGTGGCGCTGTGGGTTAATGCGTCAGACTGCAAAGCCGTTTGAACTGCAAGGTCGGCAGTTCAAACTCACCAGCTGCTCCTCGGAAACCCTATACAGGGTCACTATGGGTCGGAACCGACTCAATGGCACTTCACAACAACAACAACAACATTCACTTTATCTGTTTGTTTGTTTTTTCTTTAAACACTCAGGCATATATAATAATTTACACCACCCAAGGGTACTTTCTGCAAATCTGCCTCCTGGCCGCCAGCTCTTTTTCCCTCTCTTCCCATGAATCCAGAGTTCTCAACTGCTCCTTTTCTCCATGTCCCCATCTCTGCCTCCATCTCTGGTGTCTGTTTCTCGGGATAAGGTCTTGCATTCCCCTTGTGCTCTTCTCCCTTGAAAGTCCTAGGGTCCTTTGTTTCAGGACTGTAAGATTAACTAAACTAAATTCTCCCTTGAAACCTTATAAGCAAGTCACTTCGTGCTTTATGGTCCCCTCATTTTAGGTAGCCAATGCTTAAGTTGCCTGCCCCTATCTACCCTGTGAACAGAGAGGATAGCATTGATACTTGATATGAAGACTCCTTCCCTCTCTCTTGGTATTTGGTTACTACCTCCATGAGTATAGATCAAGTTCATCAAATTGTAGCAATTTACCCTCATTTTCCTTATTAAAAATTGTTTTGTTTTTTTCTTTTTCTTTTTTATTTTTTTTTTAAATCTTCCTGTAGTCGAGTTCTGATTACCAAGCCATCGAGGCTAGGTAAAATGGGTACTATCTGCAAGTTTGGGTGTTCTTGTGCATCTCCCCTCACTTCATATCAGCTGAATGCTTCACTCTCAGCTCTAGCCCTCTGTTTGGATGGGCTCAGGTGTCCCCAGGTCTCACCACACTTCGGACCAACCAGCTCTTCCTCTGCTCTCTCTCATCTCCAAGTCAATGGGAGTCTGTAGAATGTGGTTGAACTCAGCCCATTTCTTCATTGCTGCCTTTCCCCTTCTTCCACTCACCAGTAAACCAATGTGGTCATCAGCAAGCTTACATGCCTGCTCATGTGTTCTCCTTGATGGCTCCCTGGCGAACAACTTGCTTCTTCTTGTAGTAGCTAGTCATATTGCCATTTTTATTTTGGGTTTTTCCTGATGACCTTTCTTTGATCCAGAATATGTTTTTGTGTACATAAAAAAAGAAAACAAAACAGAGGGAATAGAAGCAAATGCTGTTAACCGATGATGCATGGAGGGAATTGTAATCATTGCAATGAAACAAAATATGATAGGTTGAGTGAAAAATGATGTTGTCCCATGTGACATCACTCAATTCACAATTAAAGCTTTTTTTTTTTTTTTAAAAGAGAGGGGTCTTGCCTTCTACTGATTAAGAATAGTAAAGTGAGACAGAGTTTCCATACCAGCAAAGGTTTATTGTAGGACAGAGGCTTACAAGCAGAGCCCAGAGGAGTTAACAATGCTTAACCCCACACACACCCCTCATCCTCCACCACCTTGCCCTTGTCTTCCTGAATAAAGACTTTGCTGGGGCTAAAAGGTTTGGGGTAGGAAAAAGCTGTCATTTTTATTCTTAGAGATAGGCGAGGATTTCTAGAAAATGGCTCCTTTCTGAGGGGCCATGCTAATTGGGTGTTCTCACAGCATGTTGTTTCATAGCAATCCTGTATAGGGTTTCTGTGGAATAGCTTTGAACCATCATCCTTGCAGACCAAACTGATCTTGTGGTTCATTGCTTATCCTACAGCACCAGAGCAGGACTTCGTGGTGGAGCATACAGGGGGGGAAATGATGAAAATATCTCAGATATTATCAAATAGTTTCAGGGACACCATGGTCTGTTGGCATAAAATAGTTCACAAAGGCAATGTTTTACATCCTACTTTGGTGAATAGCATCTGGGAACTTAAAAGCTCATGAGTGGCAATCTAAGGATCAACTATTGGTCTCTTCATGTGCAGAAGACCGAGAGTGATGAAAACTGAAGGTGCCTGGAATCAACTAGTCCAATAACCAATGGAGCCAGCAAACAGCAATCACAACTCTGAGACCAGAATAACTAGATGGAGCCCAGCTACCACTACCAACTGCTCTGAAAGGGGTTGCATTAGAAGGTCCTGGATAGAGTGGGAGGAAATGTGGAACAAAACTAAAACTTATTTAAAAAAAAACAAGACTGGGCTTACCAGTCAGAAGAAGACTACAGCATTCAACCACCATTCAGGTCTGGAAAGGAATTTACCCTCGTGACCCAATTTTTAGCCAAGCAGTAGATAAGCATAGAGGAGTGACAATACCACAGTAAAGGATGCTCAATAGGGAGTGGTAAATCACTCAAGATCAGAAAGGTAATGTTTACCTAAGGACAAAGTTGAGAAGGGGTAGGAAGGAGGGTAGAATGTAAATAGGATCCACAGGGAGGAAGTGGGAGAACTATTGTTTCATGGAGGGGATTGCAATCATTGAGATGAAACGAACTGTATGACTTGTTAAATGTAAAACTTATGATCTGCTCTGTGTAAACCGTCACTCAATTCACAATAAAAAGATAAAAACAAATATAGATTTGTCAAAACTCATCAAACTGTATACTTTAAATGTGTGCTTTTTAATCTTTATTAATTTTGCTTCAGTAGAAAGTTAAAGTTAAATGGGACTACTCAATGACACTTGGAGTCCTGGTGTGGTGCTATGGGCTAATGTGCTGGGCTGCAAAGTCAGTTTGAACTGCAAAATTGGTGGTTCAAGCTCACCAGCTGCTCATTCGAAACCCTATAAGGGTTGCTATGAATAGGAACCAACTCAACAGCACTTAATCACAACAATAACAAATTGCTTGCCCAGGAAACATCAAGGCAGGTGGTAGGGTCCCCTCAATGCAAACCCCCTTCCAAGACTAAGACTCAACGGAAATACGCGCTCTGATTGGTGACCACACGCATCGC